AACAATGCAGAAGAGCTGAAGGCCGCTATTGAAGCATCCTGGTCTTCCATAACACCTCAGCAGTGCCACAGGCTGATAGCTTCCCTGCCACGCCGCATTGAGGCAGTAAGTGCTGCAAAAGGGGCCCAAACCAAGTACTGAGTACATATGCATGCTTGTACTTTTCAGAGGTCCGATATTGTTCTATGTACAATTCTTGTTTTATTGATTGCATGTAATAATCTACTTTTCTGAGATTGTGGATTTGGGGTTTTCATGAGCTGTAAGCCATAATCATCACAATGATGACAAATCACGGCTTGAATTATCTTGCTTTGCATGTAATGAGTCTCTCTCATATATTAGTTTCACCTTTTAAGTTGCATTAGTGAAATAAATGAACTTTTGCACGATATTCTAATTATTCGAGTTTCACCTGAATGTCCTCCCGTGACCCTTAAGAGAACTATGGGGGAAAACACTGACCCCATAGTTCTCTTTTAATGAATGTATTTATTTATGTTAGATAAGAAAAGGAAAACATTTTTTATTTTTGCGAAATATTGTTTTGAAAACATTTTTTTTAATTTGCTATACAATGTAAAGACAAGAATACAAAACAAAAAAAGATAATTTTCTGTTACCAGCGTAAGATTTTTAAAGCAAGTAATGTTACTGTAGACAGAAGTTCTGTAGACAGATGTTATTATATGACTTGTCTAATTTATAAAGACACTAAAATGATGAAATAGCAAATGGAGTGATAATGAAACAAGTTTACCTATGAATGAATATAAAAAAAGAAAAAAAGGAGAACATTAAAAACCAAAGTGAGAGGCGAAGGAAGGAGTTAATTGGGAATGATTCGGGTTAACGATGGGGTCTATTCATATGCAATTTGCAGGGCTGGGAATGTCTGTGGACGTTCGATCTGTGCGGATATATACTAAAGGGAATGCATTTTAATTTTTTTCCCCCAAATAATATCACATTACGGCCTCTAGATGGTATTCGGCAGCATAGAACCTATTTTTATGTTCCTTCAGCTCTATCTCTAATGCTTGAAGGCCAAACGGTTTTTTGTTTTTTTTAAAGGCTTGCCATAATTTTAAAAGAAAAAAGGGGTGGGGCTTACTGCTGACTTGGGCCTTGTTACAACCTGGGCAGTGTTGTTCTATGTAACTACTGCACAGGGAATTTAATTATATGAAACAAAAACTGTATGTACCCAGTTACGTCACAAGGGAGGTATGGGGGGTGCAAACCTGGGTGACACCATTGGAGGGGTGACACCAAAATGACAAAATGACTCATTTTGGTGTCACCCCCTCTGAAAAGTCGGGCACTCGGTCAAGGACTGAGAGCCCGACAGAGAGAGAGGAGGGGACCCAGCGGCAACTCTCCTTTTCCAGTGGTCTTTCTGCAGAGATCCCTCATGCTCCCTTTGGAGTCAGAGTTAGAACTCTCCAATCAGCAAAGCTCATGCTCCCTGCTGATTGGTTGTTTTAGCTCTGACTCAGAAATGGGGCATGTTGGACCTCTACAAAGAGACCACTGCTTCCACACAGAAAGATAATTGTTTTCATGTCATTGGACCCACTTTTCTACTCAGGATGTGGCTGCTTTCTAAGGAAAGTGAACTGTAAGTCTTTCCACCTTTTGTTTTGAAGTACCTGGAATATATTTAACTACTTGAAACAGAAAGTGCAATTGAGCTTTAATGATAAATATACTTTATGTTTATAACTTCCAATTTTATATTTATTGTATTAACAGCTGAGAAATATCTGGACACATAACCAGGAAAAAATACAGTTATGGTAGCTCCACCCAATTCATTTCCCCAAGCTGCACAATGAACCATTATATTCTTCTACCCGTAGTGTTCCCGGTCTCTGGGCTGATTCTATGAGATATGATCACTTTTCCCATCCTGACCCCCCAGATATCTTTATATGACCTTTCACCACCCTTAATGCAGGATGAAGGGGCTCAGTGAAGGTGGTGGTGAAGGTGTGTAAGTGTCGGATCGGGTCACACAGATCATAAAAGGACAGCTGTCCGGCCTCATAATCCAGATAGATCCTGACTCTGTTACTGGAGATATTGTCAGGTAACTGAATCATTGTGCTGTTATGCAACACTAAGCATTGATTTGTATCACTATATAAGCCCCAGGACTTGTTATTATATGCAATCACTGACTGGACTCCTCTCCTCTCTATACTGGGATAACACATCCCGATCACCCACCAATCTGATCCACTGACATCCACTTCCCAGTAATGTCGCCCTGAGGAAAATTTTCTGCTGCTGAATACTTGATTGTATGTCTGAAATCTCTCTGGTGTTTCTGGACGATTCTGCTTTATATCTGACATGGATACAGTTTTCATGTCCTCTGATATCTGTAGAATATTATGAGCTGTGTTTACATCCAGTACTATATCTGACGCTTCCTGTATATTGAAGCAGACATTTACCCCTTTCATCATATCAGATAACCCCGAGTGTAATGTGTGTGAGAGTCCAGCCACATCCAGATCCCCTCCATCATGGAGGAGTTCATCATGTCTCTCTCTGTCCTCATCATCTCCCTCCTCAGTATCACACAAGTCCCCTGTGTCTGATTCCTGTAAGACAGTCAGTGGGTCAGTCATGTTACACATCTCCTCAATGTGATCCATCTTCCTGGACAGCT